GAAAGAATCTACTTTCCACTTTTCATTCCCCTTTTTGTAATATTTTTCAGCCTGGCTACAACGGAGTGATTATCATTAACATTTTTTGAAATGCACATATGGAACTCTTCCAGAAATCTAAGAGAGCATTAACTACTGTCGAAAGGATATCAATCACAGGCTCAAGCAATCTTGCGTAAGTGGCTGAAGTTCTCTTGAACATTTCAACCGAAAATCTACCCTCGCATTCAAATTATTCTGATCTGATCTCATTGGGACTATTATCTTTTCATACCCTATCAATAAACTTTTTTTTTTTATGATACCCCGAAGACGATAAGAAAATGTTATAAAAGCTAGGAAGAGTAGCTTTTTTGCGTAAATATGCCTTCTTCGTTGTATCCAAGACCTGGTGATCTCATTCAGTTCCAGAAGGAGTTGTACACCGTTGGTTTCTAATTCAATTTGAAACGTAAGCAGACTTTTTCAGCATTGGGCAGTACTTGTTCGCGATAAATACATTATTCATGTTCAAGCACCAGAAGGCGATGGCAAGGCAGGAGAAGTCATCATTCGCAAACAGTCACTTGATGATTACCTCAGAGCGGCGCGATTGGAGAACATATCCTATGAGCTGTGGATCGATGTTGATAAATATCGTATGGGTGCCAAACAAGTACAACAATGTTGGGCATCGGTGAACAACAGCTTTGACAACATCAAAAAGCCATTCAACGTAGATGAAATCATTAAAAGAGCGGAATCGATGATTGGAACTAAGTGGAGCTACAACTTGTTCAGCCACAACTGCGAACACTTTGCTCACTGGTGTCGCTATGGAGTAAAAGTATGTAAGCAGTCGCCGAATACCACACAATATGAAGATGAAAACGGCTATAAATTTGAAAGCGCCAGAATTGGTGGAACCAACTTCGGACCAATCGATTTCAAGGTTCCAAGTTCGGCTACTATTACCGAGACAGGAGATGGTCGTATAGAACATCGTGCAAACGGCGAACTATTTAGTCTTGGGATTGCTAATATGGCGAGAGCAAGTGTTGGTGCTGACGGAAGAGCTGCAGGCTACCGTGACGACAACGGGATAGGATTCAAGGCGGAAGTAAAATTCGGAGAAGCTGACTTAGGCCCATTGAACTATAAGCTTGGAATCTCCGTATCGACTGGCATCGACACGAAAGAAGGACTGAAAGTAGAAGTACTCGGAACAGGTTTCGACGCAAACTCAGATAGATTGGAAGTCAAGATTCTGGGAAACTCGGTGGCACTCACTTATCCTTGGAAATGGTTCGGATAATGAGTAATCAGAAGATGATCCATATTTTGCGAATGTTGTAATAATGTGTTTTTAATAGAAAATAATAAAAATGAAAACAAATTTCTTTTCTTCAATCGATTTCTGTTCTGAACATTTCGTCATAGAGCAGATATGAAGAGCTACACTAGGTTTGCAGACAACAGTTATTTGGATCCAATACAACACAAACACAAAGAAACTAACCAATGCTGAGACAAGTTGCGATACATTATTAACTATCTTATCGCGAACTATAAGAAAGCAAACATGAAATCAAGACGAGCACAACTTCCACAATCTAGCGAACTGTTAACAAGGAGTTGAAATCTATCTATAGATGGACACATATGGATTGAGTTAAGCAATCAACAGACTAAGGCGAGCATGAGGAATGCAAAAAACAAACGAAACTTAGATCTATCTTATCGCGAACTATAAGAAAGCGAGCATGAGTAACATCAATGAGTTTCCACTCTCTTACAACTTGCAATGAGGTTCACTCATAGGGGATTGAATG